GGGTCGGGTCGGGTCTGGGCTCGGGCTCGGGCAGAGAATCTAAACTCTACAGCAAACTGCAGTGTCAGCATGGAACACAGTTATAACCTCAGAACGCCATTGAATCACTGAGCCTTGACGATAAACAACTAAGGAGAACAAACTACTGCAAAATCCGGGCATGAAACGCAGGGCAAAAAGCATATATTACAATAAATGAATACATCTCTCCATTGACTGATATTTTTGCCTCTTAGTTTGTCTGAAAACCTTTCATTAAAATTAAAATTCAATGCCAGCCAGCAGCTATTCACCTTGACCATAACCTTTGTGTTTTATTTGCTCATTTTCATTTTGCATTGAAATGATATGGTATTGTACATGAACTCTAACACTGCTTTCCGACATTCAATGTCAGCCCAACATGCTGTCTTCTCTCTAATGCCAGAGCACTGCTGTTAGTATATGGAGGACCAGCTGACATACACAGGTTTTACATATTTATGACAGGCTAAAGGAGCAATGAAAAGGCGGGAGCCTGCTCTCTGAGATATTACCACATGCTCGGCCCTGATTGGTTTACGTTTTAAAATTTTGCTGTTAAAGGTTGATTGATCTTGAGCACGTGCAATTTACTGAGATGGAAAGCAATGTAGTTAGGCTCCAGATAGGCTGCTGGTAGATTACCGTTTGAACTTGGAATCCTTTAATGGTGACTTTTACGGCACTGTGGCCGGACACCTGCCGTGTTTGAATTCCACCTCCACTGTGTGTGTGGAGTTTGCATGTTCTCAATCTGTCATTGGAATTTCCTGTCACAATTCCAAGATATAGTTAGGATATTTGGTGTCTCTAATTTGCCCATAGTGTATGATTGTGTGTGCATGTACCCTCTGGTTGACTGGCATCACATCCAGACTGTACCCCAGCCTTGTGCCCAGCCAAAGGTGGAAAGTTCAGGTTCAGAACCAAGATTTTGTTCCAACCAACCAGTTCTCTGTGACCATTTTCCATAATCATTAATAAAATGTATGGTAATGGTGAGACTGCTTTCTATCGCAGGAAGCTCAGGGCATGAGACAAGGCCGCAGGAACATGATCACACACCACAGATGATTCAGAGACACTGATTCACCTAACTGCATGTTTGTAGACTGCAAACACCGAGCTAGAGATGGGAATCAAATGCAGCCCTGGAGGTGTCACTATGCTGCATTTCACTGTATTACCAGTGAACCATTTATTTTGCGAAATGATATCATCCACTCCATCTATGCATGTTGCAAAAATAATAATAATATATATATACACACACATCATTTATGAGCCATGATGAATCTTGCCAACCAGGCCGTATCCAGGATAAGTTTTGCCAGCCCACATGACCACTGGCCCACCTGGAACCTGCAGGGTAATGCCAGATGGCCAGTCCAGCCAGGCATTATTGTACAACACAGATATAAATATTACTTTGCAAAACCAATCACAGCTAAAACAGGGCTGTACTTCCTCATTATATAATTTCATCCACTGGAGCACCTGTCCCGGGCTACTGGTAAATTTGATAAATTGCAAACATTACAGGTATCTCTACGAAGATTTGTTTAAATTGTACCGGAACATACAGGGCGTTGTGTGGCTCTGCAGGCTAGGAGTTTGTGTCTGTGTTTGGAAGGCCGCTAGTGTGAATCCGGAGTGATGTCACCACTGGGGCCTTAACCCCAGCTGCTACAGGGGCTGGCTGACTCGGCTTCCTAAATTCTGCATTGCTCTGGATAAAAGCAGCTCCCAAATCATGTAAATAAACATGCATTTTTAATATAATTGTATATTATATATTGATTTGTGACATCATTAGATTAAATGTGTAGTATCATTGTGTTGTTATAAGATGACCAAATGCCAAATAATTTCATTTTTGGACTAATACTGAAATACAAAACCAGTTAATCTTTTTGTAATACAGAGGTGGCATAGCAACCTTGTTTTACATGAACCCAAACCTTCAACCCACTTTTCAAAATGTAAACTGTAGTTCTGCATACTTGTTCTATTTGTACTGCTAATAGAAAACTAATTGATTATTCCAAAGTTGATGGGGACTCATCAGTATTTAATGCATGACTATGATCAACTCTATCTGTGTCACAGGTGACTCCAGACTGTCAGCCATGACACATCTAACATGGTAAGAGAAGACAACTTTAGCGCAGAGTTCGTACTGCTGCCTTAGTTAATCAAACTATGATTTCAATGAAAGGGCAATTAAAAATGTACGGCATGTACTGCTGTTATACCTTCATAATACATTCCTTATGGTTGTCAGATTTAAAAAAATAATTATGGGAACCCTGTTAAGTGTGACATCACTGTAGCTTGTTTCTGATTGGTGCTCATCCTCATTGAAACAGGACACATCCAAAAACACTGCTTTTCTTTGCAATCACCAGCCAAAAAAAATCCCATAATTGCAGGCAGGCCATTTCTTGTGAGTGCCGTGCTTCTTGTACCTCTCTATGTTTGCAGACGAGCTGAAATGATCCTCTCTATCTGAGAGGAGACTTCAGGGATGCTTTTTTCAATGTCCACAGCAAAAGCATTCTCTACGTCCGTGGGGGGCTCCAGTGCATCAAACTGAGACCTCAGCAGATCAGCGGACATGAAATGGTCCCTCCGTGCCGACAGCCGCTGGTGTATGAGCTGAAAGTCACCGTGGAGGAAGGCGAAGCAGACCCTGTCCACCATCTCATGCTGACACGCTCGAGGTTGGGGAGCGGATCCAAACAAGAGCATCTGTCTGTAGCTTTTCTTCAGCGCGGAGCATATTACAATGCTACTGGCCCCGGATGAAAGTTCTCTGTGCAACAAATCGAAAAATATACATGATTACAAATCTTTTATTCTACTATTACTTGTTATAATGCTTCTACTACTATTAAGTGTTTTAACAGTGCACCTAAGTTATTTTCAAACACCTTTTAAGTAAATCTTTCAGTGAAACAATGTATCACAGACTACTAAATCATAATTAAAGTTATGATTACAACACCAAAGTCCTGAAAATTCAAAGGTATTTACAACCAACCAGAAGATTAAGGATTTGTCAAACCATGTTGACATTGTTATATGACTGCACTGTGTAAGCACTTCACGTTAAGCTTTATTACCAACACAGGAGATACCAAGAATCCCACGATAGCTTCAGCTACAGTAATTATAATCAGGCAGTAATGTGGACGCCAACAAGGGGAAAGCTCTGTGCAAAAGAAGGTTTTCAATGTGACTCATGGCTCCCGGAGGTACACAGGGAGGGCCAGGGTGAGGACTCAGAGCAGTTTAAAAAACCCCAGGCTAAGAACAATGTCCTGACAGTATGTTTTTCTTCTCCCTAATAAAATGTCCTTCAACGTTTGTCCCTTGAAACAACTTTGTAAGTCACATTGGATGCAACAGTCTGCTTAACGAGTAAACAATAATGTAGCTCTGCATCTAGGTGCTTGCGAGGACATTGATAGGTCAGTGCCTGTGTGCACCACACCTATCCAGCATGAAGTGAAGAACAGCCACCTCCCCCGTGTCATCGCTAGGACAGGAAGTTCCGTAGCTCCTAGAGACATTATTAAACACAAAATCCTCATGCGCCACTTTTCTCATATTTGAAGGTCAGTTGAATGGCCACCCAAACCACCGTCAAAGCATAGCTCCTGAATGCTACGATTTGGCACCAGAAAGTGTACCGAACATCAGCGTCTTGGTTCAGGCACTGCTCTTGACGGCATAGTGATGTTAGTAGTTTTAGATTTACAGAGGATGCCCCCTACTATGCAAGCAATCAGTCTTAGAAATCTTCCTTCCAACTCCTAATAATTCCAAAGCTGCTTGGCTAGAGGTGTTTAAGAAGCTATAACAGCTTTCTGACTAAATTGCTTCTTAGTAGTGAAAGATTTACACATTGCCCACAATATACGTTGGAGATCAAAATTAGAGAACAATAAATGAGCACGTGATAGTGTCTTGCATGAAAATTGTGGGCTGACTGGGGGACGTTCACAGAGAAGGAAGCACATGTTGCTGCAGGAAGTTCTTATAAACATTTGGAGTCACCCACCATGTGGCTGTATTACAGGCCCAACTCCTGCTGCAGAAAACATCCTCCAAACCATGACGCTTCCTCCTCCTTCCGTCCTACCTGACGACTTTACGCACTTTGGTTCAGTCTTTCAGTCCAGACTGCCTTCAATGGCGAGACACTGTATGTTGAGTCAGATCCTTACCCTGTTCAGCACTGAACTGGTGGGCAATTCCAGCAGCAGTGTTGAACCGATTCCCCACAGTGAGGCTTGGCGTTATCCTGTCCTCTCGTGCATTTATGTAACGTGGACGACCAGCATTTTTGGAGGACATAAAAGAATTAGCGTCATCGATAGACTGCAATACTCTAGAAATCACAGACTTGGAACGACCAGCTTCTCTAACAGTGTCTGAAAGCGTTATCTCTATGGCCATCATATGAACAACCTGCTGTCACCTTAGAGCGCCTTGCCATCCTGCAAAGTAATTAGGACTGCTGCCAGATAAATAGGACTTGTCAGATAATCAAGGAAATTATCACCGGGTACTAGATTAACACCATTACCTGGGAGGTATCTCAGATGGTACTCTAATTTTGATCAAAGCTCTTCCAATTTCTCATTTAAATGTTTTTATATTGTGCTTCAGAATATATTTCAATTAGAAATATACTTTAAACACTGTCCTTCTATTCCAGTTAGGATAACTCCAAATAAGTATGAGCAGTGCTTTTGAAAATTTGTAAACTATAGGTTGTTCTCTAATTTTGATGTCCACTGTGCTTCTAGTTTTTGCAGTAAGGACTTTCTGCACAGACAGCTTGAAATGATATTTACATATAATACAAATATATGTTACCTTTGGATTATGTCATGCAGTTGTAGCAACCACGGAGTCCTGTCCTACCGACACAAATCAGCAGTGTGAGATAAAATGCTTTTATAGGTCCCAGTTCTCCCAGTTTAATTAGAGATTTTGTATCTGATCAGGTGGTCGGACTAATTAAGTCACTGCTTGATTAAATACTGCCTTCTATATGATTCCTACTTCAAAGGCCATAACAATAAATACTTGATATGAGGTACTTAGTGAAGATGAAGAGAAAGTATTCTACACCTGGTCGGTAAGAGGTTCACCGCGGGACATTTTTTCTATGTTTTCTTTGGGGTGATATTCATCTCCTTCATATAAGGTCCATCCAAGCTGCAGAGACACAGATATGAGTACAGGAATTACGAATAACCACCGAATTAATTTTCTGACAGTTGAAATACCTTGTCTGAGATGTATTTCCCCACTGAGGACCTGCATCAAAGAACGCAACATGAAAGTTACACAGATGGAGGTAAATGCTACGCAACCTTTTGTTACTTGCTGGATGCCTACAGGCGCTCGTTTGTAGACAGCTTGCAATTTGTTGTAGCTATGTTTGCAAACTGTAATTTTTGCAAATAGTAGCCTAAATATCAGCTATAACATTTTGATTAAAACAACTGCGTTAAAAAAATACGTAACAGACGGTAACGTTGAGATAAATGTCACCATAGTTAATGGAAACGGTAACTAATACATTACAGGTAGATCCCCTCCTCCTTAAAACTAACGTATTAAAATTTCGGAGGGCGACCTTATTGCAATCATGTCGTTTCTGTTACTTAGATAAATCGCCAACCTACTTCCCAGTCCCGGAAACTCCCATTATAACAAGTATCATTTTCCTAAACGTAGGGCACATGCAGCAGAGCCGCAATAGCAGACACGCGTCGCAGCAGCAAACATGGCAGCTCTGGTGCGACACTTAATGACGCAAAATCTAGAAGCAGCCGCTTTCTATTTAAAGCTGCAGCACACGCCTCTGGGGACATACATGTGTGTGCATTTTCAATTCTATGATTTATAACCTAAAACAATCGTTTTCAGTTATGTTTCTTAAACTGAAATAGTTTGAATCCGATCAGGATTTGGATTCATATTCGCGGAGGATATTTTGTGGGAGGACAAAGATAAAGGCATTTGTATTTAGCACTCAAACCGTTTGTAAAATTAGTAATTCGGATGGTGGCCGATCATCTCCCGTGAACAAGCATATTCGCATGATTTCATCCGTGTCCCCGTATATAGTACAGTATGGAGCAAACAACGACCCCCCGCCGTACCACCACAAGGGTCTGTGCGTGTCGATGGAGGGCACCTTACCTAAAAGAAGCGGAATTATTTGGCTGCGGAAAGAAAATGAAAATGATGTACAGTTTGTAGCTGTATGTAACAGAGTCATATGCTATGTTTTATATGTTAATTGAATTAATAAAGCTATTTGAAATAATTGACTTATGATCCTCCACCCCACATTGGCAAATGCAATCAGCCGCAGAATTATTTAATTGAATTTCTGCTTTGGCATAATTCCCGGGGCATTAGTCCGTAGATCCCGTACCTTAAGTATCTTCTGAATTTAGAAAATGCTGGTGTCAGAGAACCATGTGTTTCAGGAATAAGTGAACGGGAAGCAAACGGACACTTTTCGTCTCTCGTCGAGGAAAGATAAGACCGATAGATAGGTACTGTATATACATAGGCAAGCGGACAGAGGGAGGGAATGAGTGAGCGAGAGAGGGAGTGAGCTTTCCCAGTCCAGAAAGAAGGCAAGGCTGCTTTCTCTCCCTTGCAATTTCACAGAGCGCTACCTCTACCCTTGCCTGTGACCGATGGCGTTGCTTTGTCATGTAGAATAGGAAAAGAAGGAAAGAAGAATGAAAATGCTCCGATTCCGCACTTCAAGCGTCCGATCCTTAAATCAGGAGATCCAGTGTACAGTGAGGCTGCTGGACGATTCGGAGATCTCATGCAGCATCCAGGTACTAGCATGTGTTTTATGTGATTTTCCCAAAGACATCCCTTTTAAGTATTGTTAGCGTGGCCTTTGAAACACCAGATGGGAGTTTCATTAAAAAAATACTGTGGACATCATGCTTGCTGACTGTTTGTAACCGCTAATCGTTGACAGTGAGCAGTGTAGCCGATGAGGGAACTTGATATTTCATAGACATCGCATTTGTTTTTTTTAGTAACTGTAGCTTATAAGTGTAATGAAATTCATTGATTTGTTGTCATAAAATTATCCGATTTGCAAAAAAAAAAGAAAAGAAAAGAAAAAATGCGCTAAGAAACTTAGTCTGATATGTGTTCGACCACAATTAAATAATTCAATGATCAGAAACATTAATAATGATGCCAATATTTGCTAAAATATTCGTTATGTTCTCGTGGCCGTAATTGTACATAGTGTTTTCAGGCCAAACTTAAATTTTAAAATATCTTACTTTTGAAGGAGATGATATGAAATCAATCAATCAATCAATCAATCAATCTATCTATCTATCTATCTATCTATCTATCTATCTATCTATCTAATTTCACTGAAAGCTTAAGTTAGAAAAACTGATGGCTCTACAAACGAGTATGATGGTAATGTTTTGACCAAGGACCAAACGCTTATAATGGTGGTAGGGATTGGTTTAAAAGCAGTGAGGTTAATAAGTCGTGCAGTGATGTTGTGCTGGGATTAAGAAGTGAGTTTAAGTTTCTAAGCCGTAAACTGGGTGCAGTAAATGGGGCAGACGATATAAACTGTTTTGATACAATTGAAACCTTTATATTGATTGTTATGTGTTTGAAAAATAAGAAAAAAAAACAAACAAATGAAAGATTGAGTATGACAGAAGAAAGAGTAAGATAATAGGACAAAATGCATGTGCCAAAGTGTGAGCATTTGGAATAAGTAGGCTATTTTGACTGCCATTGTTGTCCCAAAAGGCTAAGCGCGCTTCTTATAAGCAAAGTCAGGAAATATCGAATTAAGTGTCACAGCTGTTTTCATCGGGGTAATAATTTCATTATTCCAGGACTGAGATCAGATATTCCCGTATGATAACTAGTTACCGTTGAATCAGGAGATAGAGATGTCATGCTCCAAGCAGATTTAAAGTATATAATTCTGGATTTAACAAGATGTATGACCTCTGGGGCCTGAGCATAATGGACATAAGGTAGAATTAGATGTGCTCATTAGCAGTGTTGCCAACCATTGAAATTTTGCTCTCTGGTGAGATATCTGTGAGATTCTACTATATTTTCTAAAATTAGGAGTATGAACTTGGGGGGGGTTGTGAAGAGGGGGTGCTCTACGATCGCCATGTGACGTGTACAGACCAGGATAACTCCACACTTCTCCTCCCTCTGGCGAGAGTAGCTGTCTGCACATATCAGGCAGGATTATGGCCTCCAGAGGGGACCGTTTAACAAACACATTCAAGGATGGTGGGTTGATGACCGATCCCCCCACCCCCAGTGCCCTGGTGTTCTTGCTTGATGTTGCGTCTGTTCATCAGTGGGCTCCACATGAGCCCGAGGGAATCGGTCTGGCCCGGCACCACCGGGAAGCCCCCCGGCCATTAGCCTCAAAAGACATTAGCACACTGACTCCTGCTTATTTACAGTTTTTCTCAATTTCTTTGGAGCATTTTGCAAATGACAAATAACATTTGCAAAACAACAAGCGTAATCCGCACACCACAGTGCCACTTCTGCACAGCAGAACATCATTTCCCATTGTTATACAGTGCTGTGTGGCGATTGTCTTGTTTTGAGATCTGAAGACGTTACGTGTACATGCCAGTGCTTCCTCTTGTCAGTGAACTTTACATACTATAATGTAGAGCCTTGCAATATTGAAAATGGTGTCTTTGCCATGACATGGAGTATCAGTTTGCTAATGAAAATGACCAGTCAATGACTAATGGAAAAGTGGGAACCAACTATGATTCAGGGGCTTAACACATGCTGGTAATATATCTAAGCATTTTGATGCTCATGGATACAAAGAGGCAGATTGTACTTTTCATTTTGTGGCACTGACTAATTCATTGGTGGAATTATTTGCTTTTGAGACATGAGCTAATTGTTTTGGGTAAATACAGCCTTTTGCAGCTAAACCAGAGTTTTGTCTGTATGCAGGAACTGTGTTGAGAAATGCTCTTATAGTCTTGAAGATGTTAAGTACAGTATGTTTCATGAAATGTGCCAAAGCGATCGAGAAAAAGTGTAATGGAGAAAGCTCCGTTTATTCATGCACCTTTTCAGGCCTTAATGCTATATTTATACACAAATGGGTTCCAATTTATATTTTAAGGTAATCTTCAAAGATGACAAACTCTTACGGATCACTATGGGCTTTTTATTTGATGTTGCTGTGGCTGTTCTGAAAGATTAAAGATTCAAAGGCTGCTGTGTACTGCGTAGTGATGGAGAGGCGCAGTGCTGGCCGTTTTAGTGCAGTTTTGCTGTTGAGATGCTTCTTTGCTGAAATTGGGATATAGGGTCAGGGTCAGGTCACAGAGGGATGGCTCACTATGAGCCTCCCTGTGTGTGTGTGTGTGTGGTAGGTCACTGTCCCTAGGCTGTGCCCTGCTGATGACACACACCCGCGAGTGTGAGATAGCACAGCAAGTACAGTCAGGCCCTGTCCACACAGTCCACACCTGGCGGGTGCCAAAGGGGACCCTGGAGCTCCTCTGCTGTCACACATGCTTCCCTTCGGGCTCAGAGGGCCCCCCGGGTAGAGCCCCCCAGCCTCCAGCTGGGCAGAGCCACGTGTCTGCAGCATCGTAACGTGCACTTTGGGTCGCAGGTTTAGGCGACATGGGCCAAATGACGCTGAGTGGCTGCTCAGTGCTCTGCCAAAACACCAAGGTTGCCCCCCCCTTCAGATTGAAAATGCATCGCAGCTATTTAGGCCAGTAATTAATTAACAACACTGACAATTAGCACACCATTGCAGCTAGGAGTTATCTTTGTTTTCTCGCTTAGTTCCTGTAGCTCAACAACCAGAGCTTTGTGCTAATAGAAGGCCATTGGTTCACAGGGGACTCACATAAATTGTAACCCTTCCCTCTACTGTATGTCTCTTTGGATAAAAGCCTCAGATAAATAAATTCCATGTAAAATGTTTCTTGAGAACAAATTAGTAAAATTACTAATAATTATATATTTAAGTGATTAATGAAGCGTGGGAGGAACCTTTTGTTGAGAGATTGAAAACTGCCTGTAGGATCGGTTGTAGTTCCCTATAAGGTATATTGTATTGCATTCATTTTGCTCGAATAACTGACCCTTCTTTGTTTTAATAAGTACATATTGTTTTCAGACAAGTGTTACAAGCCTATGGACTGTAAAATTTACATGTGAAGAAAAGTGGTTATTATTATGATCTGACTGTTAACACCCGCTGTGTTTTCTCATCAGTCATCAGTTTTCTGATTTTTCAAAAATCACTTGCATGATTTTTTTTTACGAGTTCTCCACATGTCTTTTGAGATCCACACGACTCCTTGATGCCCTGAAAAGGTAAAGATACTCGCAGGAGATCAGAAGATAGCACACCTTCCTGTCGCTCAGATTCTCCCGCATTATCTTCCACAGTATTCTGGTACAGCGAATTCGTGGAGTGGGTAGTTTATTTTTAACAATCGACCACACTGAAACACACACTGCAACACACACACAAACACAGACTCAGATATATGCATGCGCCCGCTCACACAAACACAAACACACACAGACACACACACACACACAGACATTTGTATTCATATCTTTGTCGGGACCGTCAGTTCATTTCTTTGGGGAAAACTCTAATCCCAACATGACGACCCTAACCCCTACCCAGCCCTAACCGTAAGCATAAGTAACCAAACACAATATGGGACGTTTAGTTTTTTTGTGGCATCCACAGATTTTGGGGGGCAGTGGTTAGCATTGCTGTCTCACACTACTGGGACCTGGCTCCATGTGTGTGGAGTTTGCCTGTTCTCCCCGTGTCATCGTGGGATTTCCTCCAGGGCTCTGTTTTCCCCCACAGTCCAAAAACATACTGAGGATAATTGGAGTTGCCAAATTGTCCGTAGGTGTGCGTGTGAGTGTGCCCTGTGATCGGTTGGTCCCCGCCTCCTGGGTTGTTCCTGTCTGTAGCTTCCGGGTTAGACTCTGGACACCCCCGGACCCTGAATAGGACAAGTGCTTATAGCAAATGGATGGAATCACAAGTTTCTATAAAACCTGAAAAATATGGTCAAAATAAGTTCAAAAGTCAAAATAGAAAGTTTTTATGACAAGGTGGGCACATTTGTTATCCACAATGTAATATATACATGACTACACACACACACACACACACACACACACTAATGGCAGCAGCAGGACTACTGAGAAAGATGAAAATGAATGAAAGCACCAGTGAGCACTTTCATCCTTGTGCACACATGCTTTGCACTGCTGGCAGACTCACCCCATGCACAGGTACATGGACACGCAGATAATCGGCAGACCTTGACTGCCCTCACATGCCATGTTGGGACTGTGTACCTGGTCTGGCTCATACAGACACTCCTCTTCCCTTTCTGCATGGGCTGGTATAGCCTTATCTGTCCGCGTGGCAGTCCTCCAGGAGAATACTTATTCCACCTACAGATGCAGACCTGCTAGTAGTAACACCAGGAATGAAACAAGCGGGGGAATGTGTAATGGTCTTCGTAACAGAGAAGTCTGCCCCTTTAAACGGGTGTTTACATCACTTGCCTTCGTAAACCGAGTGCACATGTATAAGCACATTTGTAATGCATACATTGGACATACCACACATCTGTGTTGCGTTCATGTGCTCATACAGCACATCAAACTCAAACTGATCGCAGGCTTACATTCTCAAACCCTCTTGCATGTTTTTGCATGTTCAAATGTATGCATTTCAAATCGTTCCCTGGACGAACGTTCTTTAATGTGTCGATTTTGCAAAAGCCTC